GTAATACTTTATTAGTGTCAAATGCTGGCAATTCTTATTAATTTACCAAATACATTATCAATTAGTTAATACCTATATATATATATATATATATATATATATTAGTGTTATTAATACCCATTTATATCACATGATTTAAATTAAATTAAATTGGAATTGATTCCTCACAATTCAATAAAACATTTTCGTTTGTTATGTTATACTAATCTTTTTTGTAAAAATTGTGAACCTATATGTGAAAATTAGTAATTTTAATTAAAAAGTACAAGTGTTAATAATTTATTTCTTATAAATTGTGTAGAACTTTAACATTAATAATACACTATAAATACTTTATCTGTAAATGTTTACTTATTGATTATATTTGCTCACATAATATGTATATATTACATATACCGTAAAATCCGGCGTATAACGCGCACTTAGAACACAAAAAAAAGATGGAAATTTAAGGGTGCGCGTTATACGCCGAGTATAAAAAGGATTGCTTTAAAAATAACAAAATAGATGAGTAAAAAAAAAATTTACTTCTACAAGTATCGCGCGAAGTACTGTTTACTTAAAAGAAATGACTTGCCTTATGAACTCTAAAAGAGTTCTAGTTCTAAAAGTAAACTATTTTTTCAAAAGTTTGTGTGGAATAATACGTGGAATAAATGATTTCAAAACATAAGAGCAATAAATATATTTTCGTGATCTACTCGACGAGACCTTTCCGAATCTGTAAAGATTTCGAGTGTGGCCCTTTCGGTTCGTGAATTATGGGCGTGCCAAAATGCCTTCAAAAGGAGGCGAAACTTTGTCAAAGTCCCCACTTTCTACCAAGTCCCATACTAATATTTCAGATTTGTTCGTAAAAAAGGGGGTGCGCGTTATACGGTGAATATACCTAAAAATTAAAAACTGCATCTTCAAAGTATGAGTGCGCGTTATACGCCGGATTTTACGGTATATATAATGAGTTTTGAAAGGTTTACTTCTTTTCTCAATCAATCTAACTCAAAATTAAATGTTTCGGGTTTTTTTCGTATTATTATGAAACTGCAGTTATTTAAAAAAAAATAAAAGAAACTGTAAAGAGTTTTTCTTTCAGTATTATATTGTTTATTTGTAAAATTATATATTTTATAAGTAATATTTTAAAGTAAAAAGATCTGTTAATTATTGAAATTTAACGAAGCAATTTATAAAATTTCTGGGTCGATTAATGAGTTATATTAGTTAAACATTTTTTTAATTAATTATGAATCAAAAATTTCATTGATTTCATATTTGTTGCGTGTTATATAAAGCATCATTGGCTCTAAAATTTATAAATATTCATATATTCACTAACTTCAGTATGAACATAATATCATATCAAAGAAATAAGACTACAAAATTCTCAAAACGTGTATCCTTTAATTTTTTTTATTGAATTATTTTTTTCTATACATTTAATATATTTTATATTATTTTGTATTTATAATACATTTTAATATTTTTCCTTAATGCTATCTACTGCAAGTTCAAAAATAACTTAAATTAAGTAACATTTAATGTTCTGATTTTAAATATTATAAATAAAATGTCATCATGAAAACCACTTTTAGACTAAGAACATTTTGTTTTTACTTTTAAAGTAAACTAATGAAATAAAATCAATTTTCTTTCGATTATATCTAATTTCAGCTCCAAGATTACCGCCCCAAAACCTGAGAGCTCTCGCTACATCTTCTAAAAGTGTCAATGTTTCTTGGGAGGTAAGTGTCTTCCCGTTTGTGCAAATCTTTTTTAACGAACATTTTTTTTTTTTCATCATGTTGTAATTTTATGAAAATAAAAGCATTATATATTTCAGTTTTTAAATTCTCTTGAATGAAACACAAATTTTGCGTTAATAGGGTTATTATAAGTAATAAAATTCAACAGATAAAACCTTTAGGAAACATGCTATTTTTTTAGAATGATAAATTGTGGAATTCACAGTTTATTTATACAGTTGAACCTCTATATAACGAAGTCGCTAAATCTCGAAAAAAAAGTTCGTTATATGGAAAATTCATTATATACAGGTTCCTCTTTCGATTTTCTTTATAAACCACTGAAAACAAATTTAAAATTCATAAACAAAATACATTAAAAAAAGTAATTATTCCCACATTTTTGTAAATTAATATATATTTATTTTATATATCTTACCTATAAAAAAAAGGAAGAAAAGCTGAAAAAAAGTTTCTTGACGCCTTTATACACTTCCTGATGAATTATTATTATTATTTCTATGCTCAAGCACGTTTTGACATTTTAGAGTTACAAGACACGAAGTTACGAGTACGACTGATCAATGCTACAAATGAACGGAGACTAGTTCAAGGACACAAAACTCCAATGAGGGTGAAAAAGGATATCCAAGATTTTTCCAGTGAACTATATAATGGGGATTAAAGGTTGCACTTCTTGGATGAAATGTCAAGAATTCTATTGCGGTCGGTGAATTAAGCACCTAATAAAACCATTTCAAGATTTATGACCACCATAAAATGTGCTAAAAGAGAGAATAACTCGAAATGTCCAAAAATACTTCAAAAATAGGGAGAAAAAGTTTAATCACAAGGGGAAAAGTTCATTATATAGAAAATGAACTTCGTTATTGGGAGGTTATTTTACGAAGAAAATCGTGAAATGTTCTTGGTTCCAGGAAAAAGTTCTCTATATAGAAAAATTCGCAATATAATGTTTTGTTATATCTAGGTTCGACTGTATATCAAAATTAGTGAAAGTTTGCAATTATACTCATTCATCCTTTATATAGCTTAATTTACCAAAATAATTTTGTGTGTAAATGACTTTTAAGAGAAATTAGGCTTAATTTTAAATAGAACCTAAGAGGTTAAATTACTAGCAGCGTTTATAAGAGCTTCTGAAAGTCCCCAATTGTTCAAGAAATAATCCTCTGTAAAACTCTAATTTGTTTTCATTATTTTAAAGTGCTTTTACAAATGGAAATATCAGCAGTATTTTCCATGCAGTCATAAACGTAAGATTTAAGTAATTATTCCGTATGACATTTATTTATTATTATATATTTAGCATTATTATTATTACTTCGTTGGTAAAGTTACTAAATGTTTGTTAAGATAATTGTCTTAAAACAACAAGTAAAGTAAAAATATATACAATTATTAAATGTGGTTGCAACAAACTTAGTTTTTGTTTATGTTTTAAATGCATTTGTGCAACGATTTTTTCCCAACATATTACATAAATGTAGTTACTGTTATTTCAAATTTTGTGTTTCTGTTTCAAGGTTATTTATTTAATTTGTAAAACATTTGTTCTTTTACATACGGAAACATTCAAAATTTTGTTTGGATTTTTCAAACTTTTTTTTCCTTTAGCTTAATCTAATGCAGTGCCCAAAAATTTCTTTTATCGCTATCCCAATTTTTTTAATCAGAATTTTCATCACGTCCCCTTCCCCATACAAAACAATGTGTTGTGCAGTAATAATGTTTTAACTTTGACCCAAAAACTCAATACGACCCTAATTTTTAAAACCTAAAGTATTAAGATAAGCTTAAATTTTTTTTTTAGATTTCCCCGAAAAATCCCGAATTATTAAACTTAATCTTAACTTAGTATTGATACTTAGTACCACAAATATATTGTGCGCACTTATACATTTATAAGTATACTATATCAGAGTAAATGTGTATTTTTTTATTACGTCAGAATTCACATTTTGCTTCCTTTTAGTAAATTGATAATTTTTTAAATAATCTTTTATTTTTGACTTTCTGATACGCTCGCGCCCCCCTTGTAGGGTTATCACGCCCCCTAGAGGGGCGCGCCCACAGTTTGAGAAACACTGATTTAATGAATAAAAATAAGAACCAAACATTTAATTTAGGACAGAACAAACATCCGATACTAATTTATTTTTGGATTTTGATACAATAGATGAAGAGAGAAACATATTTAAATAAAATATTATTATTCGTTGAAATTATGTGTTTTATACTCTAAGATAAATCGATTTTTTTTTTTTTTTTTTAGAATTTTAAAACCTAACTATGTGGAAAACATGCTCTCTGGTATAAAAAGGTAGAAAAAAGATAAAATTAAAAATTCCTTTTTATGTTAAATGTTTCCCTAAGGAAATAAGAGTATTTGCGCTTTTTTTGAAGTAAAATGTCAAAGTAATTTTTATTTTTTAAAAAAAAAGTTATTTTAGTATTTTTTAACATCATTGCAATGAGATGACACTTACTAAATAGTTACAAAGAAAAAAACACATCAGGTACATTTAACAGCTTTTTTGGAGTTATTTTAAAAAGCTACTGTAAAAATTGCAGTGTCCGATGAAGCAAAAGACAAAACAAAAATCCTGGATCGGACTGATTCTATGGTGCTGTGGATAAGATTTGGTGGTTATGAAATATTGGCATGTAGACTTGCTCTGTATTCAGTTATCAATAATCATCATTTTTGGTTATTTACTTTGCAGAAAAATATATTTTGTTTTAGTGGAAAATATCAGCTAAACAAAATTAATTCATTCCCCTATTTTTTCAAAAATTCAACCCCTTTGTGGCAATATTAAATTTTGAAATTATTGAAGTTATACTTCTTTTGGGGCGTTAGAGAAATAGGATAAGGGTAAATTTTTATAATGCGCACGCACACCGTCACGGATGTGACGCAAAACCGTCACGGGTGCAGAAATTCTTTGTCTAGAAATATGCAGAATGGGACAAATCATTCCCGCCTTCGAAATTCTCAGAAAAATATTTCTCTTCATTTCCCTGAAGAAGGGGACAGCCAGGTTTGAACCGGAGACATTTCTATCTGCAGCCGAATGCTCTACCACTGAGCTATACACCCGCGTCAGCGAACCTTTGCTTTGTGTTCCGTAGGAACGGATACAAAAATGATTTGTCGAGAAATATGCAGAATGGGACAGATCATTCCCGCCTTCAAATTTCTTTAAAAAATATTCCTCTTCACTTCCCTGAAGAAGGGAGCATCCGGTTCGAACCGGGGACCTCTCGATCTGCAGTCGAATGCTCTACCACTGAATTATACCCCCTCGTCAGCGAACCTTTGCTTTGTGTTATGTAGGAACGGATATGAAAATTATTTGTCTAGAAATATGCAGAACGGGACACATCATTCCCGCCTTCGATCCCCTCCCCATATTATTGGTCCTATTGTTCCTGAGCGGGGGTGCTTAAATTTATTTCAATCGGGATTATCTCAGGTTTGGCTAGTCCGATTGACTGAAGGTTAGTATCGTTCAACTCTGCTCGTGACCACCTTTCGTCCTTGGCCCAGCTCTTGCCCCTTTAAAGATTTTTAGAAAGATTTTACTCTTGTTACGCCAAAAAGAAGTATAACTTCTTACGTGTGTACATAAGTATCTACACACACACTTTTATATTTTTTTATTGATTTTCTTTTACTCTTCATGTCACATCTTTTCCACATAGGTAGTTTCTGATTAATGAGAGTTTTTTTCCCATGTAACGTCGATCCATCTTATTATACTCTAAAGCAGTATTTTTCAAACTGTGGGGCGCGCCCCCAGGGGGGTATGATAACCCTACAAGGGAGGCGCGAGCATATCGAAAAGTCAAAAACAAAAGATTATTTTAAAAAAAATATTAGTTTACTGAAAGAAAGCAAACCAAAATACATTCTGACATAATAAAAAGTAAAATATACATTTAGACTGATATAATACACTTATAAATGTAACAGTACTGTGCAATATATTTCATGATTAATTTAACAGTATTAAGTTAAAAACAAGTTTAATAATTGCCAATGACCCTGTGGGCATATCCTAAAATTATATGCAAAATTTAATGCTTATCTTGATAATTTGAACGGTTTATAATTAAAGTCGTATATTGCAGTTTTACGTCAGAAAATATTATTATTGAATTCAATACATTGTTATCTTGTGGAAAGGAGACGCGATGAAAATTATGTTTGAAAGTTGTATCACAAGTATAGAAGTTTGAGAAGCACTGCACTAAAGACAAAAACACACATTTGGGGATTGTTTCTAAATTCAAAGTACTCTGTAGGTTTATTCCCGGGAACTACTTCAATAATGCTAAAATAATAACATTTTTCTATGAAAAGTAATTGTCCTCTTTTCAAGGTGTAATTTTCAATGATAGGCGCAAATATTTCCAATGTGTTACAAAAATATATGTAAAATACATTCGAAGAAGAAAACTGCTGCAGAAGTTCATTCCGCCTAAACTGGACCGGTTTTCTTGTTTTCCCGAAGGTATTAATTCTTCTCACACCCTAACCTGATGAGAGCATTTTGCATGGCGTTAATTAAAAACCAAAACAAATTATTCTAATTACGTGTCAAAACAATACGCACTTTCGGCGTGAACAGTGTCATCAACTCGCGCTATTAACAAAAGAGAAGTAAGAGGAAAATTAAGCGGCAGTACAGTTATACGGCTCTTCAATTAATACGGAATAGTCGTATATGAAGTGTCTCATCGTGGTTAAAATATTAGACAAATAAAAAGTAATAATTACGTTAATGTGCAATTTTCTGATCCAGCACTTTAGATGGAGAGGAAGCAAATCCACTTGGGAAGAATTGTAATCTATTTGAGTAGTTTATTTTAATTTACTTAGACTTATCTTCTCTCTAGTGAGAGATTAATGCTGCGAAGGTGAAACGAAAGCAAGTGTTAATGTTGTAATTGATGTGATGTCGGAAAAAAGCAAAAATACTGACAATGTTTCATATTGATGCTTTGAGGTACAGAATTCTTTGAATTATTGATTATTTAACTAAGCACATCTATAAGTAGTGTCTAATTAAGTATCCTTTACAAAAATAATAAATAATGTTTTATATTATTTATGTTCAAAGAAAGGACAAATGCAAATTTTGGATTATTGCATGAATGTATTGGGGTTTTTATTATTATTATTTTCTTTCTCTCTTTTACTAAATTTGTCTCACTTAAGAAATAAATATAAGTACAAATTTATTTCCCAATTATAATTTTCATTTTATTGTAATATTTTGATACTTCGTTCTGGTTGTAAAGTAAAAATCTAATTTTCATTGCCTCGTTCTTCCATGCCCTAACATATATTATTCCCTGCCCTAAATTATTTTATTTATATAAAATAATTTTTGTACTACCAACAGAAAAGATTTTGCAACATTGCATAATAAAAATGGTTGGAGACTTATGATACCATCGGCGAATTACACCAAATCAAAATACGTCACCAATTCAAGAAATTTCTCCAAATATTGTCATCAGTATTAATGTGCTCGAACTTGTGTAGGATGGTTTTCATCTGTTTTGTGTATATCGTAGCACTGGGTGAAATCTCTCGATTTGACTAAATTGGTCGACAGCATAATACGTAAATACTAATGTTTTCTTACATCGTACCAATTTTCACCTTACCACCTTACTCTTATGTACAAATTTTCTTTCTTAAGACTAGATAAATGCAAATTATTCCATTTACTGCTATTCTCTAAAATTGTAATATTAATTTGTTAATTCAAATTTAAGCGGTTTCTTATTTATTTGTTTGATAAAAATTATAATTATCAAAAGAAAGTACTTAAACATGCGTCAAAAGAAACGAATTTCTTGAAGACATTTTCTCTTGAGAACTATATTGCAGCCACTGTGATGACTGCAAAAAATTTTGTTGATACTCAAAACAGAAACAACTTAAATAAGAAGAAATATATAAGAAAACAAAAAACAACTGTCTTTGAAAACCAGCAGTAGCTTTACTTTTAAAAGTATTTTTAAGTTTTTCACAAAAACATGTTAGCAATAAATATAAAGTCATCGAGAGTTTTAAATACAAAAAAAATTATAATAATTTGTATTTGAATGGAAATTATGCAAATACTTGACAAAACGTAATAAAGCAAAGAAAAAAAGGCATAGTTATGCTTAAAACACTTTTTTCAAATGTTTTTTTTTTTTTTCTTTTCAGTTTTTACAGAATATTAGCTGCTGAAAAGTGAAAATAGTTAGCCGTGTAGGTTTAACAACATGCATGTGCTTAAGAACATTTGTTTTGTCCATATTGCACTATTTGAGCCTATTAATAAGTTTGACAAAAAGAACACTCTTTAGTTGAAGGATGATCTATAGGATTCGTTGAAATGTGTACTTACATTCCTAATCACCTAACAGGAAACAATATACATTTTAACTAACTTTGAAAAAATAAATTTTCTTAGAAGTAAAAATGACTTCTCTTATGAACTTTTCTTTCTAAACCTCTAGTTACAACTTAGACTATCCTATGTCAGGAACTTTATTAAAAATTATTTCTATGTCTCAAATATATATACATTCACAATATCAAAAAAAAATTCGAAGTATAAATGATATGAGGTTACTATATTCAGAAAGAAATATACTTCACCCGAAATAATGGATGTTCTGCAAACTTCCCAAGTTTATACATAGTAGAATATTGCGAAAGAATTGAAACCCTCTTTGAAATATGCAATATATTTAAACCAACGTGTATTGAATTTTTCGAAAGGAACAAATTGGAACCTATATGTAAGTCGAAATTCCAGCGTCTAGCAAATCAATAGTTTTGCGTAGCAAAGAGCTTCAACTACTCATGTTATTTCAAAAATGTTGAAATATACGTTTCCACGAAAAGTTTTCTTTTATATTCTTCGATATTCGCATTTGCTACGAAACATGAATTATGAACAATGACACACTCTATTCATGAATATCAATATGAAATGACAAAAATATTATTTACTTTTATTGACTGATAAATTTGCTGCTTTTGACGGAGGTTTTTTCTCTTTAATAACGTTTCTGTATTACATCATTCAATCATATTTTAAAAAAATTACAAAGAAAAAAGAGCTAAGTAAATACAGTCGCATTCAACAAAATATAAATATCGAAAGTAAGTTTGAATTGCAGTTCAAATAAGTAAAACAGTAATTTAAATATATTAAGAAATAACCCCATTCCAACATAAAATAATATTTACAATGCTTATATTGGAACTAACATGATATTGGCTCAATTTTGCTTACTGAATATATTTTGAATATAATCACAAATTTCTTTAAAATTATTTATTCTCCTTTTTTTGCTTTTTAAAACGGCTTATTAATAAAATAATCATGAATATTTTAACATAAGAATGTCTTTTTTTAGTACGGAATTATTTGTAAGAAATTCATACTTGCATATTGAACGTATTTTTTTATGAAATTTAGCATTATCTATATTATCTGTTAAATAACTATCCCTTATTTAAAAATTATAATTGATTTTTCATATTAATAGATACAGCAATTTACATGATTGATAAATTGAGATATTTTTTCCTTCACTTCTCACCAAACTTAACCGCTGCTGAGCTCGGCATATATTCCTCGCTTCCTACTGAACACATGAAGCGCATCGGACTGACACAAGGTCTTTGTCATCATATATAAAAAGACTACTGCAATTTAGACTCTTAACTTCTAAATATTTGCAGAATTTTCAAAGGTGTGATTTTCATTTATACCCGCATTATAATTTAGCATAAAGTGTAAATTAACAGTAAATATTTCTGTAATTAAAAACCTGTATTATCTCTATCTCTGGTTTTTACTCAAACCCAAGCTACGGTGAAATAGATTAATTTCAAACTAAATTAAACTAATTAACATTTTATATATCTAACGAAAATAACAAAACAAAACTTTCTCGTTGACCACTTATGTAGAAAAGAAAAAGAAGAATTGTTATTAATATAATTTTATGAAGTTTTTTAATGCACGTGATGTTAAAAAATATAATAAATCTTATTTAAATTATTGTTGACTTTATGAAAAAGATTTTACCTGAAGTAAAACTTTATATTATAATGTCAAAACTAAGTAATTTTTAAATAGCCTAGTTTAAAAATTGCCCTAAAATCGAGCCATTAAAATGGATAAATATGAAAATTTTTACCTAAATGTTTGGATCCAAAATATTCTAAAAATAATATTATTCGCATTTTGAAAAATAAAAATAGTTTTCTATTTCAGTTAAA